AATTACAAATTTGATTTCTTGCTATTGGTATATAGATGCAATGTTGGTTGTAAGTTTCCTTTAAGTAATAAATATGAGCATGAATGAAATAAGACCAGAGGGGTGATACTGAATGCAACAACTGTTGTCATGAAAAGCTACTTATGCTTTCCATCAAGCTACAACTATCTCTTCATAGAATTCTTCATAACAACCAGAGATAGTCTTACCTTTTTGGAAAATTCAGGAGTCTGTGATGCCCTTAGAGCAAACTGTAAAGATCAAAAACCTTTTACATAGGTGCTGCCACCAGAAAATTATCATAACATTTTCAAGAACATTGAGATAACATTAATAATAATAGGAATATTACCAACCTTGCTAGAAAAGTTTTACAGAATGATTTTACACATTTATGGGCTGAAACTTCCCTCCTTAAACGATGCTTAATTGCAAAACCATCTTTCTCTGGAAGTCATTATACATAATAATGTTAGAGCCCTATAATATATCCACTCTCAAACTACCTGAGTTACGGGTTACACTTTATAAAATATTAAAATAATTGCATGTATTTTTTTCTATTTTAATACATCAGCAAGTTAAAATCATTAAATATTCATATTTTAAGAATTTTACATTTTTTTGTTGCTGTTATTTTTATTTAATCTATGTATTTACTCTTTTCATTTTAAGATTGATACATTAAAAATCACATTAACAAGTTAAAATTATGACATTTATTTTGCATCTATTTCATTTTATGTAAAAACCATGCACTATGATTTAAATTATGATTGGTATGTTTGGAATAATTTAATGTACTTTTTAAATATTGTAATTTGAATAGTATATGCTCAACCTGATGATGACGTTTTGAAATATTGAAAGTACTCATTTTTAATTAAATAATCTAGTGGAGGCTCGGGTAGCGACAAAGCATTTGCATAGTAAGCAGGAGTTGCAGGTTCAAGTTGAGCTCTGGGCCAATTCTTTTCTTTCAGAATATTCTAAATAATTATAATTAAATTTAATAAGAGATGGCACCTGGTATCTACCTCTAGTACTAAATTCTTTACAATTTAATTATGACTGTTTGCTTTATTCTTATTCTGTATTTGGTGTTGTGAAGAGCATATTTATGTACTAGGGAAATGCAAAACAGTTATTTTCTTAATGATTTGTTATAACTTCTAAATTCTGTATTTTCTTTTAAATTTAGAATGTTGGTTTTGTGTTCAATCCATTAATTTTTTCAGTTTCTGTATATCTTAATTGAGAAAGACTTAAGAATTAAGCTCTATTGCTGGATATCAATAATAGTGTGTTTATAGTATATCACACACTAATACAGGGGTGGCCAATGGTTTTTGCTCCCAGGCCAAATTGGAAAAAAAACTTTTTTCATGGGTCGAACCAGAGGCTGTCCTGGGAAGATTTTGAGGTGGTGCAAGATCTCATTGTGGTGTCACCCCGTAGAGACTAAATTGTACAAAGAGATTACAGATACATTTTTGACATTATTATGCTTTATCAATGTTCTACGCTGTACTTAAGAGATTTGTAATGGAGGGTTAACTCTAAACTCAGAGTGAGTTGTTGTTGATTTTTTTTTTTTTTTTTAGTTGTCAGAATTTTTCACCAAGCTATTCGGACTTGAGTAGCTAATATTGAAAGATTAATTGCAGGCCACATAAATTCAATTAGATGGGCCGGATCCAACCCGCGCGCTGTATGTTGGCCATGCCTGCATTAATACTTTGTCAATATCCTGTTCACATCCAATAACAATTTTTTAATAAGTCAATAAGAAAAAATGAAAAATTATGCAATTTATAAACAACCCAAAGCGTGCTCAGCAGAAAATAATAAACTATAACTAAATCAACACCTGTTCACTCGCTGAGAGATTTATTCTTAACACAAACGTTTTCAATCCAATCAATTTTAGAATTTACCTGACGATGATCCATTGATTGGATTGAAAACGTTTGTGTTAAGAATAAATCTCTCAGCGAGTGAACAGGTGTTGATTTAGTTATAGTTTATGCAATTTATGTGTTCAATCCATTAATTTTTTCAGTTTCTGTATATCTTAATTGAGAAAGACTTAAGAATTAAGCTCTATTGCTGGATATCAATAATAGTGTGTTTATAGTATATCACACACTAATACAGGGGTGGCCAATGGTTTTTGCTCCCAGGCCAAATTGGAAAAAGAACTTTTTTCATGGGTCAAACCAGAGGCTGTCCTGGGAAGATTTTGAGGTGGTGCAAGATCTCATTGTGGTCAATTTTAGTTTTGGTGTTTCACTTATACCTTGAAATGGAAAAGGAGGAAACTTAGTAATGGAGAGAGTATGATTTTTGTTACCCTTGATATGAGATCTTTTATTTGCACATGGATAGGATAGACAATCTTGAGTTTTTGCTTAAAAAAATACTATTGGATAATTGATGTTTAATAATGAATCTAGCAAATGTAAGGCTGAACTTGAACTTCTTTGATTGTGTGTAAATGGGTCTTTGTCTGAAATAGTACAACTTAATGTAATTAAATCTATAGCTTTGAAAAGAGAGGAATGATTTTTATATAACATGCATTGTTGGCTCTTACCCAAAATTAACAGTCTGAATCTGGTTGAAGATAAAAATGTTTTCACTGAATTCAGAACATTCTGGAATAGTCATTAGTTTTTTTTTTGTTTTTTTGTTTTTTTTGTATTTGAGCATAGACATTATTCGCTATGTTGATTATATAGCACTAGATAATTAGTCTGATGATGATAAAATAATCTGTCTTTTGATGTTCATCAAAAGACAGATTATTTTGATAATTTAAAATAGTCCAGAATAACAAATTTAACTGTCATTATTAATTTACTGAATTGAAGAATAAAAAGGATTTTAAATCTGGAACATTCATATTATATAATCAATAGGGAAGCATTTTTAATGTCATAATAATTTCACTTACAGTAACTTTAAAATTGCAGTATATTTTGATAAATTAAGAACCCTTTTGACTCCCGTTTCATATATATTAAAAAGTTTGTTTATTTAAATTTTTATTTAAAATAATATAATATCTAAAGTGTGGCTTGTGAATATTAATTTAATAGTGAAACTCATGTATTATTTAGATATTGAGTGAAAAGTTTAGCTATCATCATCATACCATTTCAGAAATGACAAGAATATTATTTTAGGTATATTAAGTTATTAGGTATATTATTTAGGTATATTAAGGGTATCTTGGATCTTGGAATGAAAGGAGTTAGTATGCTGGGATGGAATTCATCTGCCTCTCAATTCCTAGAGGTAATTAAGCTGGGTCCATCTTATCCTCTTCTTCCATTCCACAATGTTTGGAGTATTGTCCTGGATGTAGAGAAGTTGGATTTAGAAAAGTGATTTGAAAGAAGAAAATGTTAAGACATTCCTTCTAACATAATATTTTACAAAATGCGTCTGTCATTTCAGTTACATATCATATCAATGTTGATGTGGTAAATTCACTTAATTTGACTGACAACTAAGAATTGGTGTCATGGTACAAAGAACATTACAGTAATATGCTGTGCTACCACAATACCAGTTTGTATTGAGGTTAATTTTTTAAAATGTAGCTGTTTAAGCATTGCTGCTATAGTGGTTCAACTAGGACTGTGGAGTCAGTAGATCAAGCTCAACTCTAACTCAGAATTTCAGAAATTCCAACCCTTAACAAAAGCTCAAGTTTATGCAAATTGAAACTTTTTATGATGATTTTTCTAAATGGAATATCGAAAGCTTTGTTCAGTGATGCACTTGGTCTTCACTGACTGAAATGAATATTAAAAGTGTTTGATTGATAGCATATTTGATCAGCACTCAGCAATCAAGTTGTACTGTACATCATTGTCTTATGTCTTGATGTAATAACACAATTATTTAAAAAAAATTGATACCCAAACAAAAACATCTGATATGTAAAACATTGCACCAAGTAAAAACTTATGACAATTTAGACAACAGTCAACATTTTTCTTAGGATTTTTCATTGGTAAAGATAAGCTTAGTGCTTTGAAGTGATTTGCAGACAGCCATAATACAGGTAAAAATTTTGTGAGTATCACTTCAAAGTGCCAAGCTTATCTTTACCAAAGAAATATCCTAAGAAAAATGTTGATTGTTGTCTAAATTGTCATAAGTTTTTACTTGATGCAATGTTTTTACATCTGAGATGTTTTTGTTTGGATAATAAAAAAACAGGAGTCTTAGCAGGTCTGTTTTTTTTTTATTACCAAATCTGAATCTAGCAACAGATTTGTTTCCAACTTCTCAGTTCTAAGTTCAACACTGCAATAAGTGACAAAAATGTTCTTTATATCTTATAATTAAATGAAGAGTTCCTCAAATTTTAAAATTAATGGAAATAATTGAAACAAAGAATGTTACAAACAATTCCTAATAGTGTTTACTGCAAGTTTCATTAGAATCATATATGAATTATTTAATCTCAACATTATATGTTTTTGTAGTTGATTATATAATGAATTTTGGTTCTAATTTTATTTATATTTTTTTTCTGTTGTGATGATACTGTTAATTGGATACTTCAGATCCTCATTGTTTTAATGGAAACTAATAACTAGTAATTAAATGTTTAAAACCTAAAACACATTATATTTTATATTTTTAATTTAAATGTTTATTAAAATGTATAATGTAATTAGTTATTAAAATAAGATAATAGAGGAAAGATGAAATTCTAAAAATAGCATTAACTTGAAAAGTTTTTATAAATTTTCTTGGAAATCTGAATGTAATTTTTATATAATATTTTACACATTGTATTATTTAATTTTTATTATATCAGTTTTAAAACTGTAGTTTTTGCAGTTGATTTATAAATATTTTTCTTATGACTGTAACTGTAAAAATTAATTTAATAAATGGTAATTTAATGCTTGTAGATTTTTAATAATCCATTTTGAAAAAAGTATTCTTAAGTATTCATTATAATTTTATTTTTGTAGGATGAAATAGTGCAAAATAAAAAAGAAGAAAAAACTGAGGCCGAGAATTTATCACCAGATTTATTAATCAAGCATCCATTACAAAATAGATGGACTTTGTGGTTTTATAAGAATGATCGGACAAAAGCCTGGGAAGATAATTTGCTTCAGATTACTACATTTGATACAGTAGAAGATTTTTGGGCGTATGTAGTAGAAGTTATACATGATTTAAGTTTTTTTTTTTTTTTTTAATTTTTAAAAGAATTAGATTAATCTAATATGAATAATACTCACTTGTCACTGTCAGTTTTTAGTTAAAATTATTTTGAGATTTAGATTTTTAATTATAGAATATTTATAGTTGCCAAATTTTTAAAATAATATCTTTGAATCCAATAATGACTTAATACAAATGTTTTGATTTATTTGTAAATCTAAAGCTAGCCATATAGGCTAGCTTTAGATTTCTGAACAAAAAAACAAATTTAACTAATTCAACAGCATAATTTGGGTAAATCAAAAACAGATGATTTGTATTATATTTTTTATAATTTAACATTAGTTTGTATTAAAAAGCCATTACTGCAATAAAAGTTTAGTATTCAGTTAAAGATAAAGTTTAATAGCCAAAATATTCTTGACATATTTTCATTAAAATATATATTTCTTCAGCTAACTTCTTATTTATGATTCAGTTTTGTATAGTTTAGATATATTAATACATTAAACACTGACACACATTAATCATACACTTTGATAGATGAGAAATTATTTTATCATTAAAAACTTGACAACTAGTGACCAGTTTGTTAGAAGTTATGCATTTTCTTAAGAAAATGTATAACTTCTAACAAACTGGTACAAGTGAGTACTGTAAGGTCTCGTTTTATGCGGATTTTTTTAATGCGATTTTGAAGTTGTGCGGTTTGTATTTCATCCAAATTTTTTTTGGACAAACATACATATAGGCTTGTTTAGGAAGCGCGCGTATAGACAGTCTCCAAAAATAGTGGGACGCTCAAAGCTAACTCCATTTGTTCCACTGACATATAACCTTTATGGATGTAAAGGACAGCTAGATCTACCTTAATCGTTTTAGTTCCTAGCAATTTTTGATATAAATGTAATTAAACATAAAAAATACTTAAAACTGAAAAAAAACGAAAGAAATGCTTAATTTTGAAGAAAAAGTCTCAAAGTTTAACTTCCTTTGTCTTGCTTTTCTGTGAAATTTAACACCAATGAGTCTTTGTTTATACATCTGGATGACCTTGAACACAGCTGGAGTTGGATTTCCCGGAGCACGGAAGGACAAGGCTGGCTGTATATTTTTTAATATTTTTAAAAATTTGGAGACTTAAAAAACATTCCAAAAATTCCAAAAAAAATGTAAAACTATATTACTTTTCAATAAAATTAACTGAATTAAGTTTGAATACAAGTTTATTTTAAGCTTTTATATGAATTTCTTTCAGACATTCGAAGTAATTTATTAAGCAGCCTATTTCTTTTAATTTCTGCAAACTTTTTTTATGTGGTTTTAAGTTAATTTTAACTCGTTTTGGTTTTATGCGATTTTAGAAAATTACGGAACGTATCCCTACTTTTTCAAGGCAAGTAAAGTCTTTTTTTATGCGCTTTTCTGTAGAATGTATCCACCGCATAAACGAGATCTTACAGTATTAGTATCTATTAGAGTTTGCTTTTGTTTCAACATTAATTTAGTTTCATATTATGCAAATTAATTAAAGTGTTTACAGAAATATCTGAATATACAGATATTTCCTTAATTATTTTATGTAGAATTTTATTATTAAATCATTGAAAAATTTAATTTTCAAAACTTAATATGAATGTGAAAATTTAATATCAAGCATTGTTATTAGTAACTGTGTGATATAAACTGAAATGAGTGTATAATCAACAATCTAAAACCAAATCTATTTTAGGTTGTTGAATGTAAAATGAATCACAGCTAACTTTTTATTGAATTCATCATTTGTTTGTATTTGAAGAAGTCAATGATTATCAACAACTTTCATAATTTAAATATCTTTTATGATTTTTGCCTTGTTTTTAGTGTGATTTTCATTCAAGATATTTTTGTAGATTGGTTTATTCAGATAATTGGTTTTGGTTGTTCATTATATGTTTTTTGAAACTAAATACATTAAAAATTCAGACCATTTGGAAAAAATAATTTAAGGTAATGTTTTTAAATTTCTGTTCGTTAGGTTGTATAATCATATAGAATTGGCCAGCAAATTACCAGTTGGATGTGACTATTCAGTATTTAAAGTAAGTATTTAATAACAACTATTGCATTTTTTTTTTTAAATAAGAAAAGGTACATTTATTGCAGAATTCAGTATTTAATGCATATGTGTAAGTTCTGACATTTTTAAATATTAGCTGTTTAATATTTGTTTTAAAGTTGTTATAGAGCTTTTTCTCATTCATGTTTCTTTGTATACATATGGTTATTCACCTGCATCTACATTTGGTATTATAAAAATGTGTTTAGTTGATGTTGAGTTTCATTATCAGATTGTTTAGTTCTGTTTTTCATATTTCTATGCAAACTATTTTACTCTATATTTCTATAAGTCGTCATACTTTTTTAAAGTATTTTTAAGTTGGCAGTAAATAAAAATATTACAAGATAAATATATTTAAACTAAACTTTAATAATACCATATTTTAATTCTTTCATTCTCTCAGTATTATAAATAAAGAAAATATTAGGTAAATTAAAGCTCATGAGATATTTATAATGAGAGATTGTATTTGATTTATTCAAATTGAACTTTATTGCAGTTATTTATAAGGATGCTCCCCAAATCAATAAATAGATAAAATATGTTTTATTATTTTATTTACAAAAATATTTAGGACATATTCATTAATATGTCCTTATAGAAACCAAATTTTCAACTTCAGTTTAGGATAAATTATTCATTTTCTCAGTGATCATCTTAAAAATATAGCAATAGTTTTTAGAGAACAGTGGCCTAAAACACATCACATTTTGATACTGTTGAAACTTAGTGATATTATGATGCAAGAATTTGTGTAATGTCTGTCTGTTAGATCTAATTCATTACACTATATTGTCTCTTCACCACTCCAATCTTTGGAGTGGTGGAGAATGCTCAAATAATGGAATTTCTCTTTTCTTATCATTGTTTCATTCTATGACCATATTTGAAACTTCAAAACCATGTACTCAACTTATATTTTGTTGAACTTCTTCACTAATGAATCACTACTGCATAATTATCTTTTATAATTTGCTTTTTTTCATTGTGATTACTTGCAGTATTCTGGGAGATAAATATCCATATTTCTGGTGTGAAAAGAAATAAAATTGGACCAAACTTTCCTGCAGCAACATTCTATCACCATTTAAAAATTGATGGTTCTTACTTATCAATAACTTTTTAAAAAAGAACATTATTTTCAGTATAACTAAACAATGCATACACTAATAATTATATGCAGATGTGCATATACAATGAAACCATTAACAGACACTCCTGAATAGCAGACACCTTTACTTAATGGACATTTTTACAATCCCCAGACCCTTCAAATAGGACATCTATAATATTTACCTCTAAATAACGGACACCATCATCTATAACCTATCTTATGAAAATACAAAGTTCTGCCTTCAATATTCTGAAATAATTAATTACATATGAAATATTTTAAAACTTAAACAAAGACTTGGTTCAAATATCTTTCAGACAATGAATTTTGACCATAAGTATTGAATAAAGACTGGCTTAAAATAGGAATGAGGTGGGCATATTGAAAAAAGCCAAACAATATTCTTTATCTATTAAAGAAGACTAATTTGTTTAAGTTGTCAATCACCATTTATTGTCATACATATTAATGTTATTCAACTTCTGTCTTATTGATGTACCATAAGCCAATTCGGCTTATGGTACCAAGAAACCATAAACTTTTCTGAAGTTATTCATTCATTCAACAAGAACCACAGTATGGTGGTAATGAAAAAGAAAGAGTTTTTAATTAAGATTAAGACAATAGCATTTATTTGGTGAAAGTTCAAAGATCATGTTACGAAGGCAGTTTTCCAAGCACTTTAAAGTGTATTCAGTTTTCTGGCATTTATGATCTCAACAGCATTGTGGTGTCTGAAGTGTAATTTTTAAAAAATCGATTATTGAAAAAAATCCAGCAACGAGTTGCTTAACTTTCTCAGAACATTTAGTGGTGCTGTCTGTTATCATATTTCATTTTTAAAATTTTTATATTTTTAACTATTATAAAATAGCAAAAAGTTTCATTTTGAGGGTAGGGATGGGTTTTATAAAAAAAACTGTAAATACTAATAACAAGTAAAATTGTTGATAAGTCTGACCCTACTAGAGATACACATGACCCTCATTAGCTCCTCACCTCCTTAACCTTTAACCACAAACATCCATACATACAGAAAAAAACCCCTGAATTTATTTTGCATTTCTCAATGTTTCAAGGTGTCCTGAGTCAAAAGGTGCAAAAATCTTGGGGTGGTCATTTTTGACCAATCACTATACTTTTCCTGTGTTAAATGTTGTAAGGGATGTTACAACGAGCGGGCCCACCAACAGCGAGAGGGAAGAAACATCTGGCAACACCGAGTTGAACGAGGCTTCGCGCGCTTAGATCATTGACGGTTGACGATTAACTGTGTAACCAGCCGTACGAATAATAAAGTGTTTCATCCGTATTCTCATCCGTAGTCTCATCCCTTTGGGTTATTGCGCATAGACACGACATAAATGGTGCCGTGACCAGGATTTGGCCAGAACCGACGTCATCAGGTATGCAATTCCCTTGTTACTACCGTTATCCGATCCGTTGTCGTCCCGCTCATTGTTACGGGCTTTCGCCGCCATATTGCCCGTCTTCTCCGTCGTTCGCAGAACTGATTTCGTTACCCCACCGTCACCGTCGATCGAAACATGACCGAGACATTTCCGAACGGAACAAATCCAAATTCCACCAAGGAATTGAGTAAGCTCCGACACCGCCGTAATACCATAAGAACGTCCGTGACGAAGACGATTGGCAAGATCAACGCCATTTCGGACTCGACGCCGTCCGATGAAATCGAACTGTCCCGTGACATGTTGAACGATTGGCTTAGGGAGTTAAAGATATTAGATGAAGCTATTCATGATAAACTCGAGGACACGGAATACGAAACCGACGCCGCTGCCTGTGAAGAGAGAGAAGAATCTACCCGACTTGCCGTGATTCGAGCCCAACGAGTTCTCGACCGTAGGAACGCCGCATCCGACCTCACCCCGGCAAGCCCCATCAGTCCCGACTCTCCGTCCTTTATTGGTCAACCACAGGCACCCACTCGCACCAGATTGCCCGCCTTGGTCCTTGAATCGTTTGAAGGAGAAATAGCTAAATGGCAACACTTCTGGGAACAGTTCACAGCGGCCATTGATGAGGACCCAAATATACCGGACATTGAAAAGCATGTCTTCCTTCGGGGATATCTTCGCGGTGAGGCTAAGCGCCTAGTAGATGGCATCGCCATAACCGCAGGGACATACGCGGAGACCAAGGCTCGACTACTGAAGAAATACGGAGATAAGAACCGTATAATTCAGGCCCACATCGACTACCTACACGGTCTACAACCTTTAATCCATCCGACCGCCGCCAAATTGAACGACCTCTTCGTGGAGTGCAACAATAGAGTGCACGCCCTGAAAGCCCTGGGAGAGCCCATTAGCCACTATGGACGCATCCTAACGCCGAAAATCCTTCGTGCATTCCCAGATTCTTTGTGTGAACGATAGCTCATTCATGCCCGTCATAAGGGTATCAGTGAATCCGATCTGGAACTATTGCTGAAATTTGTGGGAGACGAAATAGACGGTATCACCACTGCTGCTACTATCCATGGAACACAGGACCAATTTCTGACAAGAAAAGAACCCCGAGTTACAGCAGCCGCTCTAGCAGTCCGGACGAGGAATAAGTCCTCGGGAAGAAACACTAAAGGGAGAGAATCATCCCATCCCCCGTGTGCCTTCTGCAACAGCTTCCTCCACTTCAGTTCTGATTGCGCACTCATAACAAATCCGAGAAAACGTGCAGAGAAACTGCGCGAGACCAACCATTGTTTTCTGTGCTTAGGCCAAAACCATACCACTCGCAATTGTCCCCGACGAGGAAAACGGACATGTCGACGATGTGGACGCAATCATCACGTTTCGATATGTGAGACAGACTCAACGCAGACTCACACGACAGTCGCTGCTAACAGACCAACACCACCTATGACCCAACCCGCAACATCTGCACCGGGGTTTGCTCCCTCAACTATTAGCACAACTCGAGCCACAGTGAGTAAAATTGACGTGCACTCAGACTTTACGTATCTACAGACAGCTCGAGTTTGGGTTCATGGAGCAAAGGGCACCGCAAGACAAGTTAGATGTATCTTAGACCCAGGAAGCCAAAGGAGTTTCGTTGGCACCCCCCCTCATTGACTCGCTAGAACTGGAAGTGATTGGATACGAACCGTTGGCAATTCAAGCCTTTGAATCTGATGCTAGTACCTACACATCACGTCGTCGAGTGCGACTCACTCTGTCCAGCTGTGTCAGCAGATTTGCTACATCCTTAATAGCTGCAGAATCTTCGAATACTTACCTCCCTCATCCGACCGTATCACAGTTCGCCTATCCCGTCAGAGAGATGCCACCACTAGAACTTGCAGATCCACAGCAGGAGTCATGTGATTTACCCATTGAAATACTAATTGGATCCGACTTTTATTGACGATTTGTCAAAACGGAAAGCCCTATTCGCATAAATGACACTCTGACATTAGTTCCATCGCACTTTGGATGGATTTTGAACGGTAATCGGACTAATGTCTCGATTCACCCAGTACAGGTTAATAGTATTACAACTCCTTTGGACCCGATACTACGATCAATGTGGGATCTGGATACCCTCGGCATCCGAGAGTCGGAGGAGAAGTCGTTGACCGTCCATGATGCACATCTGCTCGACGGCTTCCGTCAATCGTTCCGGATCAAGGGAGGAAGGGCAGAGGTCCGTCTGCCCTGGAAGCAGAACATCCGCCTCACAGATACAAACCGCACAACTGCTCTGCGCCGTTTTGAGTCCCTACGTCGCAGATTCAGCAAAGATATAGAGTTCAGCAATATGTACACACGCCACATGCTCAACTACTTCTCCAACGGTTATGTGGAACGAGTTGACGAACAAGCAACATCACAACAGACCTACTACTTGCCACATCACGCAGCAATCCGAAGTAAACACAACATTTCCAAATGGCGCATCGTATTTGATGCTTCTTCTCATGTGAAAGGACACCCTGCCCTCAATGATGCCTTGGAAGTGGGTCCCAACCTGATGCCGGACATCATAGCGACACTACTCCGCTTTCGTCTTCACAAAAGGGCATTAGTGGGAGATGGCAGTCAAGCCTTCCTCCAGCTAACCTTGCACCCCGACGACTGAGATGTCACCCGCTTCTTCTGGTTTAAGGTGGTCACCGACGAAAAGAGGCATCTACACACTATAAAGGAATTGGCTGTCTACCGGTTCCAACGCCTGCCTTTTGGACTAGCTTCCAGTCCATTTCTCCTGTCAGCCACCCTCCGGGAACTTGCTGCCAGCTGCACAATCAGCCATCCCTCAGCTGCCCACATACTGGACAAAGGTCTATATATGGATGACTTTTCAGCAGGAGACAATACCGACCCCGCTGTCATACAAATATATCGGGACATTACAGATATGATGGGTCAGATCCAGCTTCCTATGGCAAAATGGGCTACCAATTCGGAATTGCTGAAGAAGCTATGGGAAGACACAAAGATAGCATATGCCCAGAAAACACGAATTCTCGGAGTAGACTGGGACACCGCAAAGGACGAATTCGCCATAGACTATAATGACGTCGTTTCAGATGCGGTGGAACGCCCCGGTACGAAACGCCTGCTACTTGCCGCAACATCCCGTTTCTATGATCCTCTCGGATTATTCGCACCCGTCTCCATTACCGGGAAAATCATTTTCCAAGACACTTGGCTCCGCGGACTCCAATGGGTTGAAGTCCTGCCAGCAGACATCTCAACTCATTGGAAACACTGGGTAAAAGACCTACAGCATTTGTCATTTGTGTCCATACCAAGATGGATCAAAACGACAAAACTTAACCTACATCTAACAAAAATCCACGTCTTCTGTGATGCTAGCGAGCGTGCCTATGGTGCTGTCATTTACATCCGTACCAATCTTCCATCAGGCATTTCCACATGTCTTCTCTGCAGCAAAGCTCGTCTAGCCCCCATCAAAAGGGTTACCTTACCTCGGCTAGAACTGCTTGCAGCCCTGGTGGATTGTCGCCTGCTAAAATACGTTACTACTGAAACCAACCTTCAAAGAGAGGGCGCTGTCCTTTGGAGTGACGCCAAGTGATCTTAGGTTGGATTCGTGGACACCCCAATCGATGGAAGACCTTTGTACAAAACCGAGTGACGGAGATTCAAAGCATCACCAACCCAAATCAATGGCGCCATTGTCCCGGCACAGACAATCCAGCTGACCACTTATCCCGAGGCCTAACGGTGGAACACCTACGCAGTTGCACATCCTGGTGGTGCGGTCCCCCGTGGTTATCACAAACAGAAGAATATTGGCCGGCCAATGACCATCCGACATCATCTGATTGCGCCGCAGAAGAACGCAAACATGTGGTCACCCTGCACACTGCATCCCATATCGAATTGTTAGATACATCTCGCTTCAGTAGCTACATACGCCTCCTCCGAGTAACAGCATGGATCCTCCGCTTCATTACACTTTGTAAAATTCACCCCCGGAATAACCACCCGAAAGGAGAACTCTCAGCAGACGAAGTAAGCTCAGCGAGAGACCACTGGATCAGATCAGTACAGAAGACATATTTCGCTAACGAGTTAATAGCACTCAACTCCGGTACACTCATATCAGAAAAATCACCCATTTATCGTTTCCAACCATTCCTGTCCAATGGGATCCTAAGAGTAGGGGGCCGATTGCAATTTGCAGATGTCCGCGCTTCCACACAGCATCCAATTCTACTAGATGGCCGACACACCTTCACCCGTTTCCTCATCATGGACTGCCACTTACTCCTGGGGCATCTGGGCACTCGTGTGGTTCTTGCCAACCTGAGAGAAGAGTTCTGGATCCTGAGAGCTCGCCAAGTCATTAAGACCGTGCTGCATAGATGCCTACCGTGCCAGCGCCACAGGAGTCAGCCTTACCAAGAAACCGAAGCCCCCCCTCCCTCCTGACTGTGTCAGGAGGGAGGGGGGCATTACCCTCTCCGCCTTTCTCAGTCACAGGGGTAGACTTTGCCGGCCCACTGTGTATCCGAAAGGGTCAGTCGATAGAAAAGTCGTACATTACACTGTTCACCTGCGCCACAACGAGAGCTGTCTTCGAGCATGTCAACAAACAGTTTCCTCCTTTGTTTACAGCGCTTTGTAGGACGACGAGGCCTCCCTCGCAAGATTTACTCCGACAATGCCAAATCCTTCCACGCAGCCTACAAGGAACTACAGGATCTCTGGCAGTCACTCTCTGATAAGCAGCTTGCCCACTACACTGCTCACCACGGCATCACTTGGGTCTTTAATGTGGAGAAGGCGGCTTGGTGGGGAGGATGGTGGGGAGTGTGAAGAGATGCCTCCGCAAGATACTAGGGAAAAATCTGGTAAATGCGGAACAAATGTCTACCGTACTCACCAGGGTAGAAGCCGCCCTCAATAGCAGGCCTCTGGTACACAATTATGACACCGAGGAGCTAGAAGCACTCACTCCCTCTCACTTCTTGATAGGGAAAAGAACCTCTGACCTCCCAGAGCCCAATAATCATACCCCCATTCATGACCTCGTGAGACAGTGGCGTCACCTACAGTCCATCATCGACAGCTTCTGGAGACNCACAATTATGACACCGAGGAGCCAGAAGCACTCACTCCCTCTCACTTCTTGATAGGGAAAAGAATCTCTGACCTCCCAGAGCCCAATAATCATACCCCCATTCATGACCTCGTGAGACAGTGGCGTCACCTACAGTCCATCATCGACAGCTTCTGGAGACGATGGCAAAAGGAATATTTGCTTGACCTACAAAGCTTTCATCAGGTTCGTAGGGTCAGGAAGAAACTGCCACCACCCCGTGAAGGAGCTCTTGTCCTTCTTAGGGAGGATTCGCTGCCTAGACAGATGTGGAGGACAGCCGTAATCGAAGAGCTGATTGCCGGCCGCGATGGTTGCGTGCGGACATGCCGTCTGAGGCTCCCTGATCAGAAGCGCATCAGCCGCCCCATCCAATTGGTCCTCCCATTGGAAGCAGAGGACCAAGGTGGGGAGGATGTAAGGGATGTTACAACGAGCGGGCCCACCAACAGCGAGAGGGAAGAAACATCTGGCAACACCGAGTTGAACGAGACTTCGCACGCTTAGATCGTTGACGGTTGACGATTAACTGTGTAACCAGCCGTACGAATAATAAAGTGTTTCATCCGTATTCTCATCCGTAGTCTCATCCCTTTGGGTTATTGCGCATAGACACGACAAATATAACAGCTGGGAAAGTAAAAATGTTTAAAAAATTACACCTACTCGATAACTACAAAGCAGACAAATCACTATATCAAATTTTATTAGTTGCTTAGATTATAAGTGAAATTACAAATGTAAGAATACTGTATGCTTTCCTTACCCCTTAAAGTGTCTAGCATATCGCCTTCATAACTTGACATTTGAACTCTCACCACCTAAACCCATCTTCATCTATCCTTTTGCTTATAATAACAGTTTCATTTTTCTTTTTCATTACTTCTGCCAGGGTCATATTTGATGAATTAATAATTAATTAGCATTTGTGTTTTGTATCCCATTCACTCTGTTTGCTATTTAAAATTCAATTAAAATGTGATTTTTACAGCTGAAAACATAAGTAATATACTGTATATATATATATATATATATATTTTAATTATATATGTACTGTATATATACGTTTAAGTATTTTCACATTCCTAAGGCAAATTTGATGTTTTTGTAATCCCATTGTATTCTTTCACTATATGAAGACTGCATTAAAATACAGTGTGGCTGCCAGCATATACCTCCCAATAGTGGACATTGAAATAGTGACAAATTTCTTGGTTTCAATGGTGTTCACTATTCGGAGGTTATACTGTCTATGTTTGTACAAACAGTATTTTCTTATATTGATATCTTATATATATATATATATATAAGATATAGATTCTGTTAGTAAATCTATACCTTTGCATGTAAATTAGAAAGACAACAGCAAGCAACCAAGATCTAAATAACTGTGTAATACAGGCGATTGGTAACAAGTTCTATCATATAAACTCAACTTGTTTAAATGAAGATATGACCATTGACAAAATCATAAACCTAGTTAGCCTGTTAGAGAACAATGACTAACATAAAAATAAAAATTCATTGAGAACCATTTAAATTTATGCCTAGTGTTTGAGAGTTACTTTTTTGTGATATTAGTTGATTAAAAAATGTTTGGAGAAAAAAGAAGTTATGATATTTGATTTTCATTAAGTTTTAATAAGATCTTTGCTATAGTCAAGTTGTCATATCAATAACATTCTATTCATTGTACAAACTTATAACTTTATATGTTAACAATTATTACAGTAGTCTTAAATCATGTAAGCATGCAGAAATTAATCTTAATCAATGAATAAAGCAAGATAAATTCTTGGTAGAACATTGATACATTTCATAAAAATCCATTAAACATAGGCAGAATGATTTAACTTAGGAAAATGAGAGTTACAAATTTCCTGATTCCTTGCGAAACATCAAGTTACCTATGGTTTGTAACTCTTCTTCCTAAACCACTCTGCATTTAATAAGTAAATAAATTAATTGTGGTCTGCTTAGACTCCAAGTACGGAAAATTACTTATATTCACATTAGACTAAAGATCTGATCTTTAGTCTAATGTTAATGTATCTAAAATTTTACAATGTATTTTAGTAATTTTACAATATGTCATACATTGTAAAATTTTAGTAAATTTAGTATGATTTTAAAAAACCTAATTAAATTTTTCTTTTAGGAAGGAATTCAACCAATGTGGGAAGATGCCAGAAATAAAAGTGGTGGTAGATGGCTGATAAATATGTCACGTCCTCAACGTTCATCTGATTTAGATAATTATTGGCTCGAAACAGTAAATATAACATGAATAAAATATATTTTCTCTATAATTAAAATATGGTAAACAACTTTTTATTTTTTCAGCTTTTTTGTTTGATAGGTGAAGCTTTTGATGAATTTAGTGATGAAGTATGTGGAGCAGTAGTACAAATAAGGCCAAAAGGTGATAAGATTGGTATTTGGACATCACATACAGATCATGCAGATGCTAATATTAAAATTGGGTAATTAGTTTTTATCACATATTAATGTTACCTTGCAAATTTTCTTGATGTACATATTAAACTTTTTTTTACTTGAAGTATAATTCATGAAAAATAAAACTTCAAAAAATGTAATTTTTTAAAATTTATTTTAAGTTCATAAAAGAAAAAAGGTGTAAATAATCTTCATTAGAGTATAAATCTTTTTGTTAAAGTATTTATTTTGAAATTCTTTTTTAAATATTTATAAAATGCAAAAGAAAAACATATACGAAAAGACAAAAAAATATTTAAATCTTGATTATTAAAACCTTAGTTAAATTTTACTTTGGAATAATGATTGTGTAATTAGGTTTGATTAATATTTGTAAATCTCCTTGATTACAATAAATTTCAGAAGAGATCAGATTACTTGTTATTGAATGGAGATAGGCCTTTAAAGTTTTATATTATGCATGTAAGGCAATTCATAGAACAATTTTTTAATTTTCATGTAAATATTTAAAAATTGAGTTTTAAAAATTACATTACACTCTACAACAGAATAAATTTTCAGTAATCTTTCTTCAATTTTTATCAGCTGCTCAATTAGTAGACACTCCTAGGAGTAAAATAAAATTCCTGTAGAAGTTAACTAAACTGACTGATTATATATTGATTGTTTTTATTGTATTCAACATCAATTACTCAATTGTAAATAATTTATTGGTCAATTGTTCAAGATTGTGCTAAACACTTAATTCCTGCACATAGTTTGTGGGCTGCAGCTTGGCAGGTCACAATTAGGCTGACATTTAGCATTACTGTACTAAACAATTGATTCACTGAATTTTAGAATCAGCTTAACTCTGTGCAATACAGTTATCAAAATTGAGGAAAACTTTAATTGGAGCTTCAATATAGGTCAGGGTTGAAAATTTTTCTCTCTTTAAACTGGAAAAAAACTAACTGATAATTGGGTTAATATGATATTATTCTGATTTTTGTCTCTCTATATTTTTTCAATTAGTGATAAAAGCAGTTTAAGTTTAAAGATTGTAAAATGATTATGATTATAAATATAGTTTATTTACTCTAACTTAGTGCATGGCTAGGAGAAGAGATTCGGTTTCCTTTTCTCTCTGCTGGGTAAAATATATCCGTCTGTGGTTTTTCATTCTTCTAATATGACAGGTCGAAAACGTAGTGAAAATAAGTGAACATCAAAGAAGTTTTAAGAGATTAAATTATTTATTCACCTGAACAATTAAATTCATGTAATTGATTTCTGACTAAATCTTTTACTCATATCGCTAATGTCTGCCATATTAACTGTAAAAAATGAACAACAAGGTGGAGCATATTGCTATTCAACCAATTATTGAAAACATGGTTAATTAAATACAAAATCATTAAATTATATATATATCCTTTTTTCTATTTGTAAGTTTTATTCCTTTAATTACTACCACTGACAATTAAATAATTTTGAAACATCATTGCTTCTTATGAATTTAAAGTTTTAGAGGAAACTATTTTTTATGTAAGATGTGCCCAAGTTTAGAATAAACGAACTACAGTAATTATAATTTTATAATAATTGATATGTAATTTGAAAATAGTATTTTGTTTGTTTTGACCTTGTTGTTGAAATATAACAGTATATTTTAATATGTTCAAAGTATAGTTTTATGTTTAACATTAAGGTTACATATAATTAAATTATAAATCTACATGTGTTTTGATCCTATTAAATTTTAATTTTTCAGTTGTAAATTAAAAGAAAGATTGAATATACATCCACAGTGCATGATTGGCTTTCAGGTTAGTATCAGATTTAATTAAAATNTTAAATATTAACAAATATTTATCTGATAATTTTCAAAGACTAACAAATAAAAATAATATTTAATGAAATTTATGTACACAGCATTTCAAAATTTACTAATTGCTTTTAATTTTAAATTATGGCAGTAATTAAAATATTTAAAGTGTGTACAGTCGACCCCCCTATAACACTGTTGATAATTTTGTTTTATATGAATTTCATGTTGTACGAGTCACTTAGATTTTACAAATACATAAGCCGTTCATATGTATTTGTAAGAGCTAAGTGACTCGTACAACATGAAATTCATATAAAACAAAATTATCAACAGCATTATAGGGGGTCAACTGTATATACAAAATATATAAATTTAGCACTAAAATTTTAATAAAGACAACTTTCATGATATTCTTTATTTTTAAAGCTTGAAGAAAGTCATAAATTTTGTATTGATGGTAAAAAATGAGAATACATTTTATCAAGGATACAAATTTAATCTGCAGTTAGTTGTGATCTAGAGCAGTTTTCCATCCTGGGATATGTGGAATAAGAAAATGCAGTTTTCAGGGTATACAAAAAATATTTCCAACTAGCTGTTACCCGCAGCTTCGCTCTTGCGGATTTTGCAAGCAAACCTTGTTTACATTCAATATTTCAACAACTGTAGTAATTGTTATTTAACACCTACCGCTAAGAATAATGAGAATTGCTGAGAATCAAACAAACTGTTCTTAATTTGATAAATTTTCTGGAACGTTTACAATCATTCTATAATCGAACCAATATGCAAAAATAAATTCAAATTTAAAACTGTTTGAACATTTAGTTAAAAAATCAAAATATATAAAAAATATTTCGTAAAACTTAGGGGTATTAAATTGAAAAAAAAAATACTTAGGGGTATTAAATTGATAACATTTCAGACATTGGTCTGAAATGTTATCAATTTAATACCCCTAAGTACACAATGAAAACTAAACATAATTAAAAACAAAAAAAATCGCATCTAAAATAGTACAGTAGAAGCCATTCTTCAGGTTATGCCTTAATGCTCTCCCTCTCCCCCTATGGAGGAATTTTGAAAAATTCCTTGCATTTTCAAGACGTACCCTAATTGTGTACCAAATTTCACCTCTAGGTTCTGGAACTTTCTAGAAAAAACGAACATTCTCATGGAAGCGTCACACATTTTCGAAGTCAGCCACTTTCAAACCCCATACCTCTCACACCCTTATAGCTATTGAGACGCAACCACCATAGTGCACGATGGGAGACTTGGGGCCACTACCACGCACAAACCCCATTCATGTGCGATGTGTAGTTTTGGCTGCAGAGTGACATATAGACACAAACATGTCCATTTTTATATATATACTAGCTGCAAGGACCTGCTTCACTGGGTTTTTATTTGTATGTAATATAGTTTTTTTTATATATATAAAAGACTGTTTTTCTAAGTAATCTAGAATCTAGCTGCAAGGACCCGCTTCGCTGGGCAAAAAGTAACTCTAGTGAAGATTAAGATAATTACATTATAGCCAATCTTACATGTTTTCACAGAATGCAAGGATTAGGTTCCCCCTTTCCAGACTAATTAGAGAATTTTTACATGAGTCTAAAAATATGTTCGATTTCCTGCAAAAACTCAAAAAACCGTCTGTAAATCTTGCATGCCACTTTATATTAATAATAACCTTTAGGAAGAATGTGAAATATCTTCTAAGTGAATTTAGATAACAATTTCCTGTTAATTATTTTTGACATGTGATATCTTTATATTATTATTTAGGGTTCTTATTGGTTGTGAAAATTTGTAAAACTTTATGAAATTTTGTTATTCTTTCAAAATCCAGAAATAATATAAAAATTAAAACTTATGGTGGTACCGCCAGAAATAAAAGTGGTGGTAGATGGCTGATAAATATGTCACGTCCTCAACGTTCATCTGATTTAGATAATTATTGGCTCGAAACAGTAAATATAACATGAATAAAATATATTTTCTCTATAATTAAAATATGGTAAACAACTTTTTATTTTTTCAGCTTTTTTGTTTGATAGGTGAAGCTTTTGATGAATTTAGTGATGAAGTATGTGGAGCAGTAGTACAAATAAGGCCAAAAGGTGATAAGATTGGTATTTGGACATCACATACAGATCATGCAGATGCTAATATTAAAATTGGGTAATTAGTTTTTATCACATATTAATGTTACCTTGCAAATTTTCTTGATGTACATATTAAACTTTTTTTTACTTGAAGTATAATTCATGAAAAATAAAACTTCAAAAAATGTAATTTTTTAAAATTTATTTTAAGTTCATAAAAGAAAAAAGGTGTAAATAATCTTCATTAGAGTATAAATCTTTTTGTTAAAGTATTTATTTTGAAATTCTTTTTTAAATATTTATAAAATGCAAAAGAAAAACATATACGAAAAGACAAAAAAATATTTAAATCTTGATTATTAAAACCTTAGTTAAATTTTACTTTGGAATAATGATTGTGTAATTAGGTTTGATTAATATTTGTAAATCTCCTTGATTACAATAAATTTCAGAAGAGATCAGATTACTTGTTATTGAATGGAGATAGGCCTTTAAAGTTTTATATTATGCATGTAAGGCAATTCATAGAACAATTTTTTAATTTTCATGTAAATATTTAAAAATTGAGTTTTAAAAATTACATTACACTCTACAACAGAATAAATTTTCAGTAATCTTTCTTCAATTTTTATCAGCTGCTCAATTAGTAGACACTCCTAGGAGTAAAATAAAATTCCTGTAGAAGTTAACTAAACTGACTGATTATATATTGATTGTTTTTATTGTATTCAACATCAATTACTCAATTGTAAATAATTTATTGGTCAATTGTTCAAGATTGTGCTAAACACTTAATTCCTGCACATAGTTTGTGGGCTGCAGCTTGGCAGGTCACAATTAGGCTGACATTTAGCATTACTGTACTAAACAATTGATTCACTGAATTTTAGAATCAGCTTAACTCTGTGCAATACAGTTATCAAAATTGAGGAAAACTTTAATTGGAGCTTCAATATAGGTCAGGGTTGAAAATTTTTCTCTCTTTAAACTGGAAAAAAACTAACTGATAATTGGGTTAATATGATATTATTCTGATTTTTGTCTCTCTATATTTTTTCAATTAGTGATAAAAGCAGTTTAAGTTTAAAGATTGTAAAATGATTATGATTATAAATATAGTTTATTTACTCTAACTTAGTGCATGGCTAGGAGAAGAGATTCGGTTTCCTTTTCTCTCTGCTGGGTAAAATACATCCGTCTGTGGTTTTTCATTCTTCTAATATGACAGGTCGAAAACGTAGTGAAAATAAGTGAACATCAAAGAAGTTTTAAGAGATTAAATTATTTATTCACCTGAACAATTAAATTCATGTAATTGATTTCTGACTAAATCTTTTACTCATATCGCTAATGTCTGCCATATTAACTGTAAAAAATGAACAACAAGGTGGAGCATATTGCTATTCAACCAATTATTGAAAACATGGTTAATTAAATACAAAATCATTAAATTATATATATATCCTTTTTTCTATTTGTAAGTTTTATTCCTTTAATTACTACCACTGACAATTAAATAATTTTGAAACATCATTGCTTCTTATGAATTTAAAGTTTTAGAGGAAACTATTTTTTATGTAAGATGTGCCCAAGTTTAGAATAAACGAACTACAGTAATTATAATTTTATAATAATTGATATGTAATTTGAAAATAGTATTTTGTTTGTTTTGACCTTGTTGTTGAAATATAACAGTATATTTTAATATGTTCAAAGTATAGTTTTATGTTTAACATTAAGGTTACATATAATTAAATTATAAATCTACATGTGTTTTGATCCTATTAAATTTTAATTTTTCAGTTGTAAATTAAAAGAAAGATTGAATATACATCCACAGTGCATGATTGGCTTTCAGGTTAGTATCAGATTTAATTAAAATTTGATTTTAGTAATATGTAAAGTGAATAAAAGTTTAACACACTAATGTAAATATGAACAAAATATTTTAAAATAGAATATATATGCACTGTATATACAAAATATATAAATTTAGCACTAAAATTTTAATAAAGACAACTTTCATGATATTCTTTATTTTTAAAGCTTGAAGAAAGTCATAAATTTTGTATTGATGGTAAAAAATGAGAATACATTTTATCAAGGATACAAATTTAATCTGCAGTTAGTTGTGATCTAGAGCAGTTTTCCATCCTGGGATATGTGGAATAAGAAAATGCAGTTTTCAGGGTATACAAAAAATATTTCCAACTAGCTGTTACCCGCAGCTTCGCTCTTGCGGATTTTGCAAGCAAACCTTGTTTACATTCAATATTTCAACAACTGTAGTAATTGTTATTTAACACCTACCGCTAAGAATAATGAGAATTGCTGAGAATCAAACAAACTGTTCTTAATTTGATAAATTTTCTGGAACGTTTACAATCATTCTATAATCGAACCAATATGCAAAAATAAATTCAAATTTAAAACTGTTTGAACATTTAGTTAAAAAATCAAAATATATAAAAAATATTTCGTAAAACTTAGGGGTATTAAATTGAAAAAAAAAAATACTTAGGGGTATTAAATTGATAACATTTCAGACATTGGTCTGAAATGTTATCAATTTAATACCCCTAAGTACACAATGAAAACTAAACATAATTAAAAACAAAAAAAATCGCATCTAAAATAGTACAGTAGAAGCCATTCTTCAGGTTATGCCTTAATGCTCTCCCTCTCCCCCTATGGAGGAATTTTGAAAAATTCCTTGCATTTTCAAGACGTACCCTAATTGTGTACCAAATTTCACCTCTAGGTTCTGGAACTTTCTAGAAAAAACGAACATTCTCATGGAAGCGTCACACATTTTCGAAGTCAGCCACTTTCAAACCCCATACCTCTCACACCCTTATAGCTATTGAGACGCAACCACCATAGTGTACGATGGGAGACTTGGGGCCACTACCACGCACAAACCCCATTCATGTGCGATGTGTAGTTTTGGCTGCAGAGTGACATATAGACACAAACATGTCCATTTTTATATATATACTAGCTGCAAGGACCTGCTTCACTGGGTTTTTATTTGTATGTAATATAGTTTTTTTTATATATATAAAAGACTGTTTTTCTAAGTAATCTAGAATCTAGCTGCAAGGACCCGCTTCGCTGGGCAAAAAGTAACTCTAGTGAAGATTAAGATAATTACATTATAGCCAATCTTACATGTTTTCACAGAATGCAAGGATTAGGTTCCCCCTTTCCAGACTAATTAGAGAATTTTTACATGAGTCTAAAAATATGTTCGATTTCCTGCAAAAACTCAAAAAACCGTCTGTAAATCTTGCATGCCACTTTATATTAATAATAACCTTTAGGAAGAATGTGAAATATCTTCTAAGTGAATTTAGATAACAATTTCCTGTTAATTATTTTTGACATGTGATATCTTTATATTATTATTTAGGGTTCTTATTGGTTNTTTTTTCAACTCCATTTGATGTGAAAGTGGAAGATGCCCCTCCAGATGTCCAACTTGAGTTGATAGACATCCAGTGCAGTGATGAATTGAAATCACAGTTCAAAAATTCTAATCTCCTCACATTCTACAAAGAACTGCCAGATAAATCATTTCCAAAACTGAAAGACAATGCTCGATTTTGTGCAAGCATGTTTGGCAGTACCTATGTATGCGAACAAGTGTTTTCGCTTATGAATTTAAACAAGTGCAAAACACGGAACAGGTTAACCAAAGAGAATTTGGAAAATCTGGTTGTTTCAACATCTGCCATTACACCAGACATCAAGAAGATTGCTGCCAGCATCCAATCTCAGCTATCTCATTAATCGCTTGGAGGTCCGGCCCCCAGTCAGTAAACTTAACCCTAATTTGGCCCTTCTTCACAAAAGGTTGTGCATCCCTGTATATATATATATATTATTTTATATCTATACTAATATTATAAAGAGGTAATGTTTGTAAGTTTGTTTGCAGCAGGTAATCTCCGAAACTACTCATTCGATTTCAAAAATTCTTTTACCAATATTTAGAATGGAACCTCAGGGTGGATATAGGCTGTATATTATTCCATTAAACATTCATATAAATTAAAAAATATAATCTAGGTTAAGTCTTTTATGTCAACAGATGGCGCTATGAGTACGACACCCTAAGTTTGCTTTTCTGTGAAAATGAACTAAAGCAGATCATCATCTATCTATCTATATATAAATAAAAATGTAATGTTTGTTTGTTTCTACCGATTCCTTTGAAATTTTGACACAACGCTGCATTCGAATACGCACGTGTTTTTATATAATATACATGTCGAAATCCCCCCTCCGGGAGATGGACAGGATTAAGGCTTACCGTAAAGTACTCTGCTTCTATTTATACTATTTTAGATGCTGTTTTTTGCGTTTTTGATTGCATTTTAATAGGGTACGTCAACAGAATANAGGATTAAGGCTTACCGTAAAGTACTCTGCTTCTATTTATACTATTTTAGATGCTGTTTTTTGCGTTTTTGATTGCATTTTAATAGGGTACGTCAACAGAATATACACTACAAAGGGATTTTTCGATATTCCCCCTGCGGGGGAGAGGGACAGGATTAAGGTTTACTGTGAAGAACTTGGCTTCTATTATACTATTTCAGATGAGGTTTTTTGCATTTTTGATTGCGTTTTAATAGGGTGCGTCAAGAAAATGTACACTAAGGGATTTTTCGAAAAATTCCCCCCCCCCACATGGAAAGTGTTATACATTTATAACAGATACATTTTGAGCCACAACAACGTGTGGTGGGGTCTGCTAGTATATTATAATTAAATATTTAAACTGCAATATTAAGAGCTCCTTGTGTGTACTCCTTAAAAAAGAATTCCAGAATTTTTCACAAATTTTTTCAAAAATCAAAAATAAAACACTAATATTCTTTACTACTAATTATATACAGTAGAGCGTCGATTTTCCGAATCAATTGGGGACTGGAGTTGTCCGGATAACTGATTTATGTACGAAAAAATAGTTTAACGTATCCAATGTCAAAATTTTTATCCGTTGCATGTTGCTTCGCGCTGAATTTTCGTCGATGTTAAGCCTAACAAAGACTATTGTATCGTTAAAAATTATTTTTTTATTTTGTACAAACAAAATAAATATATTGAAAAATATAAAAATAATAAAAAATTATACTTCAGATGTTAATTTAGTATCAAAAACGTAAAATATTTGAGTAGCCCAAGACATAGCCAAAGATTGAAGCGCCACAGCACTGGCGAAAATTTAAATTTGCCGACTGGAATTCTTTCAGATGATTGACTTTCGGAAAATCGACGCTCTACTGTATATATAATTAGTAGTAAAGAATATTAATACTTTTTTAAGGAGTACACACAAGGAGCTCTTAATATTGCAGTTTAAATATTTAATTGTTGATGAAAATGAACCTCAAACCATCTTAAATTTTGAATTTATGCTCCAGAAACTTAAAAACTATTTTTAGCATATGCATTACTGCATCAAGCATTGTGTTCTTTTGTGACTAACAGTCAAAAATGATTGCTCAATAAATTATTAATGTTCATTTTCATCTGAAGATTTCTTCCTTTAAAAGTCATGCTTATTGCAGGTTTAGTTTTGTCCATTACAAATATACTTGACCTAAAATGGGATTTCTCACACAAGTGAGAAATGAGATAATGATGTCAAGATCCAAATTCTCAAGATAAGTTGAGAATTTAGAGTAAGATCTTCCTAGAAGTAAGATGTGCTACCATGCAGTTATCTAGCCAACAAAAGTTAGGAGTCTCAAAAAGTATATTTTTATTTTGCATTTTTTGGTGCTATATTATTTAAAAATTCATAGTTTTGATTTACATTTATATTCTTGTAGAATAAACTTGATCATAATGAATAGTTATTAATGTAGTTATAATAAATAGACACCCACAACTGCCATAAATAATCAGGCTATAATTTATAATTATTATTTCCAAATTATAGCCCGATTATTTATGGCAGTTGCGGGTGTCTGTTTGCTATGCATTGAGTTTCTGTTGGTGTTTATATTTGTGTAGTTATAATAACTATTAAATTAAAAAATATTTTTATTTTAAAAATCATAATGTATATTTAGCTGGATAGTCCATTGTTTTCAATATTGTCTAGTTAAACAAATTTCATTGTCTAGTTTCTAAAGCTTATTTTTGATAGTGAAGTGTGTAGTTAAAAAGTTTTACTGAATGAAATATAATAATTGCATTCAAGACAATTTTTAAAATATCACATTCTGACATCTTGATTTTGAAAATATTAATTTTGTAATGTATAATCTATTCAGCTATTAAATATAATTTTACATTATAATAGTGATGATATAAATTTATTAATTAATTTGCTTTCTAACAGTTAAATTTTTATTTCCAGGCTCATACTGATACTCAATTAAAATTGGGATCATCAGCTAAATATAAATTTCAAGTTTAACTTCTTTTAACTGAATTAATTCTATAGTTTAAGAAAAATGCCCGGAGAGAATGTATGTTATATCCTTATATTCAAATTAGATGATGTGCTGAACGTTCTTAACAGATGGTCAAAAGAAAATACTAATAAATTATCATATTATATAGTATTATAAAACTATTTTATTTTTCCTCAAAACTTTTGTATTATTTTGGTATTAGTTGTCATAGCCATGATGATTGATTGTCATTGGTGTTTGTAGGTGAAAAGCTTACATTTTTTGTTTTTTTTTCTTTTTCATACATTGTTATATTGTTAAGCTACAAATGCCATTAGTCTAATTTATAAAAAATATATATATAATGTGTTTGGTATTTAAAATATTATAATATGAAAATTAGCTTAAGTCTGTCCTGTATTATAAAATGCAAACAGCTAATATTTGTTTTAATTTTGTATATGTTTGTCTTATGTAACAGGATTCTGTATTTAATTTCAATTAAAAGATGTTTTTAATGTATTGAATATATGAAATTAGATATTTAATCATTTAATGAACATATAGACTCTCCTGCTATTAAAATAAAGTTGATAAATGAATTATTTAAGAGTGAAATTTCTCAAATTTTAAATATATGCAGTTTGCAGACCTTTAAGCATTCAAAACAAATATTTTACATAAATTTGCAGAATTTTTATTTAAGGCTAGTACAAAATATAAATGTAAAAATATCAACTTTCAGTTATGCAAACATACTAAGGCTAATGTCTGACGACCATGATTTTACATACATCATTTTTAATGGATTCATGGGAGTGCAAAAATATAAAGGAGCAGTCAGATGGGTGCAGATGTGAAAAATGACACTGGTGCTTCAAAGACAGCCTGTTGGATCATCCACCATACTCATGATGGAGTGTGCTGTGTGTGTGTTGGGAGATGCACTAGACTCATCAGATGATCATGAAAATGATGGACATTGTAACATTATTTTAAGGAAGTACCAGGTCAGTTTTTGTACCTGCAGAAGTGTGTATGGTGTGTTTTAAAAAATGGACATTGATGTAAGTAAAATGATCATACAATTTAGTGAGCGACCGGAATTATAGGACACTTTATCTGAACTTCATAAAGAAAAATATAAGAAAAAGGATGGCTGATTACAATCAAAGATGTATCCAATATTGCTTACGTCTTTTTTTGTTTTTAAACACTTCTGTACATAATAAAAAACAGCACGTCACAACCTATAAGATTCATGTTGACGTATACACGTCTGAAATAAAACTGACTCCCTAATGTTTGCTGTAAAATATAGCATATGTCCAATAACTGACTGCCTTCATTGTAAATTTTTACATCTGTCAATCAAAAACACTGTGTGTGTGCTTTGACACTTGTCTGATGTTAGCCTAAGATTAGGATTTTGCTTGCAAGTGCAATTTTATATCTATACGGAATGTATCACAAACTTCATTATTGGATTTTATTTCTTAAAAGAGGAAAATAGCATCTTAATTAGTTCATATATTATTTGGAAATGCATGTGACAAATAAAATTTAATTGTCTTGAATGTTTTTCAACTCTTAGGGCCTTTTTTTCCAGGCCATTGTTGGCTTGGCAAAGTCTGCAATGAGGCAGTAATTTGGTGAGGGATGAGGCTCAACATCTTTAGGACAGACCATCCTCTAAAACTTCCTAGCTTTTTCAGCCTGTTCAGATTTGACCCCAAATCTCCAGAGCAGTATCGTGACGCCTTAACCAATTTGGCCATTTGATCAAATGACTTGCATTTAGTAATTTGCAAAATATATTTTAATGTACTTTTTAACATATTTTAAATCATTACCAGTTATTAAATGAGTCCTCTTATGATAAGAGTAATTAAATAAACCAGGTTTAAATCTAAAAATTGGAAACAAAATGCTTCATCTGGTGGTTTCTCCAGAACACTAGACCTTTCCTTCTGACTTCCAGATTTAAAATTATTTATCTAATCTATTACTCGAAAAATTCATTTTCAATATCTTTTTATTTATATTTTATAATTTATAAATGATTAATTTATAAATAAAAAATATAAATAANTGATTATTATATCTATGAATTAGTATTTTAAATTTTAATTTATAGATTAAAGAAAAAGTGACCAAATAAAACAAATGTTTCTGGAGGCAAAGATCTACACATATTTACTATTTTTGCATGGAAGGTGAACATGTATAGTATTGCAGCATAGTTAAGCATTTTCAATTGAACTTCAAAGAAAACAATTATTCTCTAATTTTAAATTAAATTTCAGGAATTTTATACTTAAATTTTAAAATCTTTCAGAATTTTTATTGCAGTTTTTCATGCAAAAGAATTATATTTTAATTAAACATTTTTTTAATAAATAAAAGACCATAATTAATTTAATAATGAAGCTGGTTAATTGTTTAAAATACAATCTTGCTGTTTTGAAAAATTACTGTACTGTGTGAACAATATATTTGATATGTCATAACAGTTAAAAAATTAACAGTAACATTAAAATACTAATAGGTTCTTGAATATGTTAGAATCGTAATTATCACATTAAGGTTTAGCCCATAATTTTAGTTTTTTTATCATACTCCTTATGTTCAAGTTTCACTCTGATTCTACATGCAATATAAGTTTAAACTTGTGCTTTCGTGTCATGTTGTTAGCAATTTTCAGCAATGCATCTTGTGTTTTGATGCTTTCCAAATAAAATAATTCCAATAATTATTAAAATCCTGCAGAAATTTTATATAATAAACACTTCAGCTCTTTCGAGCCATATTCACTGCACTTGTATTTAGAATTGGATTACATGAAAAGTTAACATTTAAATTCATTTCATAAATTAAGCTTATTTAAAATTTGTAAAATTATAGAAATTATACCTAATTTGTTGAAAATAAATCTACATTATAAAAATGTTTTAAAAGAAATGATGGTAGTTTTTAATATATTAATATTTGCAAATTATTTTGTTATATTTTAATGTGTTTTTGAATTCTTGTGTCACATGGAAATAATAATAGACATGAATGACAGCCTGTATAAGAGGAAAATGTCTAAATACAGTTGATGAAAATTAAACCTAAATTTTACTTCCAATAAATTAACTCAGCAACAAAATCTTACAAAATAACTTTATTTGGATTAATATTTACAAAGTTTGTTTCTGTTGGGAGTTAATGCACTACTCTGCTGTCATGATTACAAGGAATATATATGATGGATAATGTAAACACATACACACAATCTGAAATAACGAAGTACCGAAAAGAAGAAAAAAAAACTTGAAGAAATTAGGATGCTAAGGAGGATATCAGTAGATTCAAGTAAAAAAAAACCAAAGGATTCAAAATGATTAATGATATACTTTTGTGAGAAAGAATCAAACTTCATTTTATTCTTTATCAAGTATTTTAGGGAATTTGTTTAATTAAGGGTGACTACTATACACACTGAACTGAAAAAAGTTCTAGAAAACCATCATACTGTTAGCAGTCCTGCTGTTTGGGATCACTATTGTCACTCATGGGAAGCACTAACATTGTCTAGCAAGTGAATTGAACATTGAAAAGAGAGATTGTTTAATCATCGATGCTGTTCAAATAACTATTTTGCCGAAGTTAGTAATCTTTGATGACTGTTGGCCAGTCGGAAGAAATTTGTGATGCACAACACCACAAGAATCCAAGTTACTGTTGACTGACTTTAATGCAGTTTTTCTGGTCTTGCTTCATTTTTCAACTGCCACTTGTTAAGTTGTACACTTGAGCATTGAACTGTTTGTGTCAAAGTGTACATCCATGTTTCATCACCTGCAGTGATGCATTTTAAGAACAATTTGCCTTGAAAAAGCATTTCCTTGGCTGCTTGAACACATTCTTGTTTTGGAAAAAATTCAAATTTTTGGGACAACTTGAAGCGTCGTGCCACAAGCCCAAATAATTTTTTAAAATTGCCTGACAAGATCTAAATGATACTGGAACATGTTCAGTAATGTCCCTAATTGTTAAATGATCATCATGAAGTACCAAATCTTTGACTTAAATGACATGTTCATTAGTTGAAGTGAATGGTCTACCAGAGCATGGTTCATCTTTGATGCATTCTCTGCCTTCCTTGAATATCTTGTACCACTCAAACTCTTGTTTTGATAGACCATTGTCACCAAAGGCTTTTTGCAACATTTTTAATGTTTTTGTAGCAGTGATTCTGTTGTGAAAACTAAATTTAATGCACATTCTTTGCTCAATTACAGTTGACATTTTGAAAAATTGCTGGTGCAAAAATTCTTTATGCACAAAACAAGCATTTATATGCAAACAAAAACAGACGATGACATACAGATTGCTTCTTGATGTTGATGAAAGTTGTACCAAACAGCAAAATACAACACTACCTCATGCATTAAATGAGCCATTCCAATACTTTTTGATCACAGTAGTATATCCTAGAGAACTTTGCCATCAAAAGTCAGTAATAGTGAAAAGTACTCAGTAGGAAAAAGAAAATAAAGTCACCATATCAGATTCAATTGATAAGCTAGATAAGTTGTAAACAGCAATAACATTAACGATGATGAATTTGATATACAAGGTCTGTTCAAAAAGTATCGGACCTTTGGTCGGCAAAAATAAATTTATTGATTTTGAGGTACAAAACCCTAATCCCCTTCAAAGTAGTCTCCTTGGTAGTGTATACACTTCTCCCAGCATTCCTGCCATTGCTGGAAACACTGCTGGAACGCATCTTTTGGAATGACCATCAGCCGGTCCGTCGCATTCCGCGCGATGTCTTCTCTCGACTAAAATCGGGTTCCTTTTAGCGGCATTTTCAGATTCGGAAATAGCCAAAGGTCACATGGAGCCATGTGGGGAGAGTACGGAACGTAACGAACCACAGGAATGTTGTGTTTGGCGACGAAAGCCCGAATCAGATGCGCAGAATGGGCGGATGCGTTATCACGATGGAGCTGCCAAGTTTTGATCGACCACATATCCGGTCGTTTGCGTCGCACTGTATCAGAAAGACGTCGAAGGACCACCTGGTAGTACTCCTTTGCGATGGTTTGGCCTTGTGGTGCGTACTCACGACACACCACCCCACGAGAGTCGAAAAAACTGTCAACATGACCTTTGATATTGCTGCGGGCCTGCCGCGCTTTTTTTGGCATCGAGGATCGTCCCCGAAAGCCTGCTGAATCTTGCGAATAGTTTACGCTTGGGTATCGCCAAGGTTTTTGGCAAAATTTGATGTAATATCGCTGCTCACGTTGTTCAGTCATTTTCCAGCTTAGTGGAATCCGACGAGAGCGCACTACATGACCTCACTCATAGACCGATTGCCAACGACTGACGCTTCCTGCAGGCGGGAA